ATTCCTGTCAACCTTCACTAGCTATTATGGGGGTATTTTAGACACACAAAATAGAATTAGGTACATCATAGATTTTCTCATAATCTCAGAGATTAGATTGCTCCAAGAATCAATGAGGCTGAAGTTTATAGTATTAGATTAGAACAAAAAAAACAACAACCTTAGATTTAGTTACCTATAATTTAGCAGTTCAATTTTTAAAGACTGTGTTAGTCACTTTACAGATTCACCAAACCGTGTTAGGAATAAAAAGTAGGAAATTGGGGAAGAGGACAAAATAATTACATTAAAAAATAGATAAATATCCAAGTAAACATGCAAAGCTTCCTTACTTTCTCATATAAGTCTATTTTTGTTAATAGACGGGGAAGAACAAAGGACTCTACTATAAAGCAAGGGTGTCAAACTCAAGGTCCATGGGCCGGATCTGGCCTGTGGAGTGCTTAGATATGGCCCACGGAGCTGCCCTAGAAACAGCGAAGGACCGGTTTGCGGTGCCTCTGCCACTGAAAACTGGCAATCTCCGTTTTCAGCTGGGATGGCCTCCTGCATCCCTCTGCCAGGGAAAATGGAGCTTGGGAGGGCTGTACGTGAACTCCGTTTTCACTGGCAGAGAGTTGCAGGAGGCCTTCCGAGCTGAAAACAGAGATTGGGAGCCCATTTTTTCTGGCAGAGCACTCAGGCCATCACAGGTGCACCTGATACAGGTGACATCAAGCTGGCTATGCCCACCCTGGCCATGCCCCCACACCCCCCCAAGGTCAAACACAACCCTGATGACCTCAATGAAATTGAGTTTGACACCCCTGCTGTAAAGGCTCAATTATTAGAATGAGAAGCACAGGTCAATAACAGAACATGATTTATTTCAAAATCAAGATTATTATTATTTAATCTCTGGAACATCTTACCCTCTGAGGTGTGATTGGTTGCCACACTCCTGATGTTTAGTAAAAGCTTCAAGACTTGGCTCTGCCATATGGCTTGGGGACTTGGGGACCCAATGGGGGAGCTTGATACTGGAGGTGGCTGATTAATTAAATTCAATCCTACCTCCACCTCCCCTTGTGTCCGGCTCCCCTCTTTGCCATTTTGTGTCCATGATTTTATCTGCTATGTTTTTTACAACATATTATTTTAATGTTTTTCTATGTTGTAAACCTCCCAGAATTGTTGGATGCAAGGTGGCAACAAATAAATTTTATTAAAAAAATAAATAATTTCACAGTGTATTCAGAATTGCTTTATTTTAATACAGATATTTCTTGAAAAAGTCTAACTATTCTCAAATGTTAATGTTTTGAGTAGGTGATAATAATGACTTTGTTGCTTGAACCATCAGTCTTAACAAAAGAAAAATATAAACATACATCACAGGTTTTGTAATTTATAAATATAAAATAAAATCTTCCTAATAATCAAATTCTATTATCTGTTATTCACCAGACAGGTCATGTCAATAGTTTCATAGTATATTTAATTTATAATTATTTAATGTATAATGAAACTAACCTTTTAAACTCAAAGGAAAGCTAAAATAGAGTGTTAATTTAACAGCATGTAAATCAAATATTAGTGAATTAAATCCTTTGTTAGAACTGCATGGTAGAAATAATTCAGTCTTATTGCACAGTGCATATTTCTATTCCTGTTTCAGGACAGAATTCATTTACTAATATCAGATGTAATTTTTAGAGACATGTTTTATACATAAATTTATCATAATTAAGCACTGATTGCATGTTGTAATTTGCCATGCATTTGCTCATAAAGATGATTCAATATCTGTTCATTTTTAAGGTATTCATTTCACACATTAACAAAGTATCATATATTATGAGGGCCAAGAATCAAACAAATTGCTCATTAAAACATATGTGTGCTTTACACGCTATCCAAATGTGGCCCCTTCTGAAAGTCCTGCTCCTTCTAGAGAAATAATCCATCCATATAATATCATGCTATAATCTAATATGTGATCCAAGTCAAACAACTAGCTTGATAAGTACAGTAGGTTGTCACAGCCAATTCACCTCATTCTTTTCCTGACACCCATTCTAGAGGTCACTTATTACCCATAGAAACAATTAAATTAACATGACACAAAAAGATGAATGATGGGAGAGGGGGATTATCTGGCACAAAATAAGTAAATAATATTTTATTGACTTTTCAAAAACAGGTGTCATGAACAAGTATCATGATACAAAACTGATTTTGAATATTCTGTGCAGCAATTTGAAGTGTGCTTCTTTTTCCCCTTACACCTATAAGAACAATTCATTTTTTTAAAAAAAAACATGTTATATTAAGGATTGTAATAAAATTAATACAAAGCAACATAGAGAAAAAAACCAGAAAAGTAGAAAGAAAAGAAATACAAAGTGCAAAAAGTTAAAGAAAATAAATAAAATGGAAATAGAAAAAAAGAATATTTTAGGAAGTGATTCTTATTCCACTCAGTAATAAATACAAGCAAATTTAATATTGGCCCACCTCTTATAAAATTATAAAAATAATCCACTTCTTACTACCAGTATAACTCTCCTTTCCATTCACAAATTTAAAAATCATTGTCATTTTTTCCCAAGTACTGACAAAAAGTCCATAAAAGGTTCCAGCAGTATATTTTATTTTACCCTTAATCAAACAGCCAACTTTTTATTCCTTTTTTGATAGGTTGGTTCGTTGATTGATTGATTGGTTTTGCTCTAACAATTATCTAAATCTTTACATCATACGGTCGCTGTTGTGGGCTTGAAACTGCATTTAAACTTTCTTCCTCCTATCTCAAAAATTTTAGAAATCCACTTTTGTAAACCCATTAAAAATTGTTGTCCTTGTGATTTTTCATCTCTTCACTTATCATTTGTATTTCCATTTTAACTCTGTTTTATAATCCATAATTCCTTTATTTCCCAACATTTCTATATCAGCTGGAATTTGTTTCACCTCTTCATTCTGTCAGTAAATTCTTCCATTTTACTTTTTTATTTTTTTAGAATCTTTTTCAAGAAATGCATTAGCAATAATTATTGCTGTCAGTTTAAGTTTCTCTCCCAATTCTTCAAAGAATCTTTGAAATATATCTAATGTCATACTTATATCTATCAATTTATGAGCTTCAGTACTTTTCTTTCAAATTCATAATAAAATATGGATTCTTGAAAATAAAGAATAAAGAACAGTTTATCTCTTTCTTTTTTCCCAACTTGGAACTTTAATTCAAATTTCTATAAAATCTCAGCAATCATCTCTTCCCGGATAAATTAAACAATTTAGATTCCATCAAAAATATCATTTTATTTATCTTGTTATTTCACAAATCTTAGCAAAAGTTCCAATATTCCAAATTCTTCTGGTCCCTTAATCTATTTAAAACTTTCTTGAATTACCTTATTTATCTTTTTGTCCTTTATTTTATATTTTTAAATTCTTTAAACTGTTGTTTAATTTTTCTTTTAGCGGAAGTTTTACTCATTAGGTAGCATGGGATCCTTGGTGCTCTCTGTTCAGTTCAGTTCAGCTCAACATTGAGCTACAAATATTCTCTTCTATCATCACAAGATAGTTTTTTAAACTTTTTGCTTAGAAGTTCTCCTTTAACTTTAAAAACATGTTTCGAAAGGAAGACGCATCTGGTGTCCTTAGATTTGAGAATTTGATGGCTTTCTTTACCTCCCAGTGCTCAGACCCGTGTATTGACTACTCTCCCAGGGTCTCCTCAAAAGGAATAGCTATCTAGAGCATAAGTAGGCAAATCCTCTCCTTACCTGGAGGGATTCTGTTAAAGAAGGTTCATCGCTGGTTCTTTGGTCTTTGCCAATGCATCATTTCCACTTCTCCTGGGATGTCTTAGTTCACCAATGCCTCACTCAGAAATTTCACCAATGGAAAGCTCTTCTCCCTTTCTTTGATTTGCACCAGGCAGATTTGCCCATCTGGGATCAAAAGCAATCTGAGCTTCAGTATCTTTATTAATTTTGAGGGGAGGGGAAAAATTATTTTGTTTCTCATGGATCCTGTGATATGAATCGAGTCTGCATCTGCTAAACATTCTTTCACTTCTTGAACAGATTAATTTACTGAGTGCTTTCTTGTTCTACAATTTCTCCTTATTTACTGCTATATTGGGAATGTGTGAGAAAATAACTAGGGATAAGAGAGGAATAGCATTCCTTGCACCAGTGACACTTCCTAAAAGTAACAAACTGATCTACAGTATTGGTGAGGAATGTAGTTGCTGTTTGGGTGAACAAAAATAGCCAAAGTCATCCCAATTTAAAACTTCAGTTAATTAATAAGAAGGTATATTGTCTAAACTATATCAGCATGAGAAAACTATGACATTTTGTCCTTTGTTCTTTTTAAACAGCTGGTGACCCAAAATAAATTAAAATATCTGCTCTGTTGCCTGTAAATCTTACCTGTCTACTCACATTTGATTCTAGAATACTGTTAAATATCCTAAAGTGAACTAAAATAAGGTGGCAACAAAAATCCTATTGTGAGTCTACATATATTACTCATATATACTATATTCATCAAATGTTCCTTTTTTAATGTACTCTGGTTTGATACTACTGATATATCCTAGTTACCAAAAAGCAAATGGATGTATACATAACATTTCACACAGATGTTTTTATCAGTTCCTAGCACATTTAAGAGAGTAAAAATTCAAAGCACATAATAAATATCTAGAAATTGGCAGAAATGCCAAACTAGGCAAATATTAAACTGGTTTACAGCATCTACCAACAAAAATTATTTGCAATAGAAAACAATGTAAGTATTCCATGACAAGAGTTTTAGAGTACATTGATCATGAGTATCTTTTGCAGAGGGCAGATGTCCAGAAACTTCTCTAAGATTATGAAATGCAGTATGTTCTGCAATAATTTCTTCTTAAAATTTATTTTCTTTCACCTCCTTTCACCTGTTTTTCCTCAGCTCCTTGTGGTCAAAATGAAACTAGAGAAGATGGTAAAATAATTCAGCTTCCTCCCTGCAAAACAGGAGCATGGATCGTTCCTGCCATAATGGCTTGCTATCTTTTGGTTGCAAACATCCTTCTGGTGAACTTACTGATTGCAGTGTTTAAGTGAGTTGATAAAATATTTTATATTTTTCTCCTCCATCCATAGCAGCGATGCCAAACTTTTTAATATTTATCACCAGACTGGTTTAAAGCATCTACCAACAGAGATTATTTGCAGTAGTAAAAAATGTAAGTATCCCATGACAGAGTTTTAGAGTACATGATCATGGATATCTTTTGCAAGAGGGTATATGTCCAGAGATTTCTAAGATTTTGAAATATAGGTGATTGCAGGGGTGCTGTGACGGCTAGAACTTGGAAGACCAATCACATACAATTCATTCAGCACCATTCAGCACTTTTGAATAGCTAGTCACTTCTATAGCCACTATGGATGTCTTGACAAAGATGTAGCTGTTTTAAAGAATTGCAGACAGTGGCTACATCTATGCACTCTGAAGAATCTTTGCCCCATTCTACAGCAACAAGAACACCCAGTTATAGAAATAAACATATAGTATTAAAGTTTGGATTGTGTTACAGGTAAATTCGCTGTAATTAAAAACTCAGATGTGTTTCATATTCAATCAGGTTTAAATTCATAAACTGATAAAAATAGATGGAACCATATTTTATTTTTTGAATAAAAGAAGAGTCTGCATTTTAGAGTAAAATTTAATCTTCCAAGCTACAGATGATGTGAAAAAACAAATAAAGATTTCCAATTTATGTTATTTTTGAATATATACCTGAAGAGTTTGATCAAAGTCAAAAAATGCTCAAAGGGGGTAATTAACCCTTGTTCCTCAGTCCATTTTTCTTTTCAGTTATTTTGGATGCATCAGCTGTGGAGAGCAGATTGAGTTTAAAAAAAAACACCTCTATTGAACATTTCTTCCAATATATCTGTCCCAATCAACTAATATCAGGAGGTGTTTCCTGTACTATTTCCTATCCTAGACTGTTTCCTACCTGAAGGAGTTGACATATTGAAGATATCTTGAGATATGGATTCATCAAGGAAATCTCCTTCCTCCCTATCCACTGTTTAATTAAAGATGAAACTTATAGGCTGATACAAAGTTCAGCAATTTTGAGGCAGAGGTGCAAGGCCAAAATAGTTAGCATCCAAAATTAGCATCCAAAATAGTTTGGTAATTACAGAATAAGCAGAGCCCTGCAGTAGCGCCAAGAGTTTCCATACAGTAAGCCTGCAAACGACACCTAGTTTGTTTGACCAAGACATGAGGTTAGGTTAAAATACTGAGTTGTATTCTCCAGTTACCTATCTCAGTAGTGAGGATCAGCCTTCTACTGGATGCCATCAAACAAGATAGTCACCTCAAATTTTTCCCCAAGTCCAAATTTAACTCAGAATTTCAGTGCTTATACTTGCACTTGAGGTCCTCTGGCTGTCTTAGTGAAGTGGGAAAGAATGGAGGTTGTTGTGTTGTTGCATCCATGCTACTGAAATCATCTAAGGCAATGGCCAGTGTTCATCAAAGGAAAATCTTGGAAATTGGTTTTTATAAGCCATTACATTTAAATACCCAAGTGAATTGATATTTCTTTTAGAAGTAGACTATCTCCTAATATGTTTATGCAGAAATCAACGATGGTATATATGAGTAAAATAAACAGTGTAGCAATGTAAACATAACAGAAGTTGTTATGAGTAGTCCATCAAAAAGAGTGTTGGAATTGACTGCAGATGCTAATTGTACGTACAGCCTGAAATTTATTTTTTTTCAATGTGTAGAACAGACCCCAATGTTGCATATGCAAACAAAGAATTCAGCTGTTTATCAAACGCCTGTTCCTTTTTCTATTCCTATTTCAGCAACACGTTTTTTGAAGTTAAGTCTATATCAAACCAGGTATGGAAGTTTCAGAGATATCAGCTTATTATGACCTTCCATGAAAGACCAGTCTTACCCCCTCCACTAATCATCTTCAGTCACATGACCATGATATTTCAGCACATATGCTGTAGATGGCGGAAACATGACAGCGATCCAGATGAAGCAGACTATGGGCTCAGTAAGTGTTGTAGGATTTGTGCAGAATTATTTGGATGAAGCCATTATGCTTCATGAGGGCACTGGCATCACTTAGGACCATTCATGAGCAAACAACAATTTCAGCTGAGGAACAGACAACCAGGAGGTATCTGTGTAGTTTTGTAGTAGAGCAACCTGTCGGATACTGTATATTTGGAACTGTTCCTTAGTCGTAGCCTGCAAAGAGAGTTTTGGGAAACTAAGGCTGAAAGCAAATCCATAGGAAACTGTACACAACATACTGCAAAGGACAGAAAAAGAGTAAGGCATAGTAAGCCAAAGAAATTAAAAGCAAGAGATAAAAGGAAGAAGGATACTTAATTAAGTCTCGTTTCCACTGTTGTTCGCTATACTTTTCCATATCTTCATATCCTTGCAAACTATGGTTGTAGCATCCATTTATAAATTACTACATTGTCTTTTGTTATTTCATTCTTACCATTGTCCTTTTGAGAAATCATCAATGCCATCCAGTCTGTTCAATTTTCTACTTTTTCTTAATATTTTTCTTTTGCTTTTATATCCTCATTTTGCAATTTATTCTTTTTTTTAAATATTTTTATATTTTAAAAAACATCTCTTAGTGAACAATGTGGTTCCATGTTTTTACATTTCAAGACAAACATGAACCCAGTTACATATTCATCTTTCGTATTCAATTTCATATCATATTATTATTTATTCCATTTTCCTTTAAATATTCTCAAATATTTTTATATTTTATCCAATTCCGATTTAGATCATAACTTACTTGATTTTTCTTTAAATATTCTCGTATCTTGTTTTACAATATTATCTAAGTTTCTTGTTTCATTTCTATATTCATTACACATATTTACTTTTATCAGTCATATTTGCAATTTTACCACATACTATTATTCCATTCATTGTTCAATAGGTTCCATCCTAATTCTAATACTCCAAAATTCCCCTTTAATTGTCAATTCAAGTTTGCCACCCCTTTGCCTTATACACTCATTCCAGTTCATCGAGATCATAAAGAAACAAAACTTACAACCCAGCGACCTACTAGTGAGCTTCGATGCCAAGTGCCAATAAAAGAAGCCTTGACAGCCATCCAAAACAAATACAACCCCTCCAAGCACATCCTAGATCTGACCAACCACTGCCTATCCAATACATACTTCACCTACAATGGACAAAAATACAAACAAATAGAAGGAGCACCCATGGGGTCACCCCTCTCACCTGTCATCACAAACCTCTACATGGAACACTTTGAAACACAAACTCTAGAAAAATATGATCACAAACCCAAACTCTGGCTCAGATACGTAGATGACACCTTCATAATCTGGCCACACAGGAAAGAAAAACTGAACAACTTCCTCACACACCTCAACAGCCTACACCCCAAAATACAATTCACCATGGAAACAGAAGCTAACAATCAACTTCCCTTCCTAGATGTCTTAGTAGACAAAAAATCCAATGGCTCCCTAGGACACACCATCTACCAGAAAAAAACACATACAAACCGCTATCTACACGCACTCTCACACCACCACCCAGCACAGATCAATTCCATAGCCAAGACACTCATCTCCAGAACAAAATGCTTAGCCGACAAACAACACCTAAAAACCGAACTACACACTCTCACTAATGTACTAACAGCCAATGGATTCCAATGAAAGAAGATTACCCACCTAATCCAAAAAGAAACCCCAACCAAAATCCAAGACAGAGAACAAGAGAACAGCAAAGCCCTCCTCCCATATATAAAAGGCACTACAGACAAAATCAGCAAGATCCTCCAAAAACACAACATTAAAACAGCATTCTGCACAAACAGAAAAATATCCGCCATCCTAAGAAACCCTAAAGACAAAATCAAGTTAGAAAACCAAGGAGTATATGAAATCCCTTGCACCGCCTGTCCCACCACATACATCGGACAAACTAACAGAAGAATAAGTGCACGCATTGAAGAACACAAGAACTCAATCAAAAAAAAAGAAACGACCTCTTCCCTGGTCCAACACCTCAAAGCCACAGGACATGAGATTGACTTTAAAAATACCAGAACTATCGCCAAAACCGAACACTTCAACAACAGAATAATCAGAGAAGCCATAGAGATAGAAAAACGCCCACACAGCATGAATAAATGAGATGATACCTCCCGCCTACCAGCCATTTGGAAACCCGCCCTCATGAACAAACGAGTACCTAACATGAAGAATGACACCAGACCCACACGCATGAGGGCCACACAAGATGCTACCACCACACTTCCACATAGAAAACAGACTCACACCCACAAAGAAGATGAGACACGAACACGGACCAGAAGCTGTACCGCAGCTGCATCACTACCTGCTTCAAACCCCTCCGACCCATACATGAAGCGAACTGACACCCACCATGAAGATGTGGCACGACCACGAAGCCAAACAGCAGGATCACAGCTCACCAGCTCAAATCCCCCAGCAACTAAGTCTAACCTGAGCACAACCAATCTCCCACCTGAACAGAACACACCCCCAGCCAATCAGAACACAGCCAACCCCCAACCAATGAGAACACACCCCCAGCCAATCAGAACACAGCCAAGCCCCCACCCAATCAAGTCACACCCCCACTAACAGTTAAAAGGAAGAAGCAGCTGCAAGCTCACATTACTCCGAGAAGCATGAAGCCGTAGACACAAGCCTGAAGATGATGAATGAGACTTCATTGAAACATCGCCTAGATACTTCCAATTTTACGTGGGAGAAAACCCGAATAACCAAAGATCCACTTACATGTATGGTATTCAGCTTTGTTCGGGTATTTTTCCATGTCATTATAGTTATGCTTTTAAAGTTGTAGCAACGTTTCAGCAGAATCTCATCTGCCATCATCAGGCTTCTGTATTGTGTTCGTCTGTGAGTCAGACTTTCACAGCCGTTTCAGTTTTAAATTTGGGGCTAGCCTACTGCTGTGCCAGAATGGTTTTTTCTTCATCCTGATTGGTTGGGAGTCTTGGTCTGTGTTTATTGGTCTTGGAGTTTGCTGTGTTCTGCTTGATTGGTGTTTCTAATATCTTCTGTCTATTTTGTGGCTTCTGTCTATTTTTTTGTCTTGATTGGCTGGCAACATTGTGTTCCTGTATTGGAGGCTTTTAGTCCAGTTTGGCTCCGAGTAAACGGACGGCTATCATTTATTAGGAAGCTAGGTTTCATCTGGGTGCCTGGTTGGGGTATGTTTGAGCTGGAGGTATCAGGAACACAATGTTGCCAGCCAATCGAGACAAAAAAAGCCACAAAACAGACAGAAGATATTAGAAACACCAATCAAGCAGAACACAGCAAACTCCAAGACCAATAAACACAGACCAAGACTCCCAGCCAATCAGGATTAAGAAAAAAACATTCTGGCACAGCAGTAGGCTAGCCCCAAATTTAAAACTGAAATGGCTGTGAAAGTCTGACTCATAGACAAGCACAATACAGAAGCCTGATGATGACAGGTGAGATTCTGCCAAAACGTTGCTACAACTTTAAGAGCACAACTATAACGATGTGGGAAAATACCCGAACAAAGCTGAATACCATACATGTAAGTATTCGCGAAAACTTAAGAAAACATATATATATATATATGTTTGTATATATACTGTATATATACTATATATACTATATGTGTGTGTGTGTGTGTGTGACTGATAATAGTCTTTCCATTACAATTCTCAGAGATCATTTTAGCTTTATTCATCGCTTTATTAAATGTCCATTAATATACGTATAATAAATTCCCATTTCCATATCTATTCCAATTAATTCTATATCTAATTTAGCAAAAATCCTTAGGGGAAAATATCAATTCCATTCTTTTCTATTTTTAAATCTATATTCTTATATATCACCACACGTTACCTGTTTTGCAATTTATTCATTCTCTCTATGTGACCAAATTGTTTGGATTCTTGACTAACAATATAACTTCACCTTTGTGAAAGTACACAAACACTCATGACCCCAGCCAATACATTTCTAATGTCACTACCATCTTTCCATATGTATTTATCCATAAATATATAAACAATGTAAGGAGCATCATGTATACTTGTTTTGTCTTGGATTAGGCCTATTTAGTTTATCATAAGCTTTCTATATGAACAAATATACAATAAACTTCTCACCTTTCCAGTTTTCTTAATGTTCTGTACACCTCTTGACCAATATAAAACCACACTGCACTAAGCCAATTTTCCTTATGTCCTCTCAATGAGATGCTGTCACTTTTTCAAACATCCTTAACAAATTAATTCTTAAATCATTTTTGCATTTACTTTACATTTCCTTATGTACATGAGAATAAAAACATCTCAAATAGGAGGCACAGAAGCTCTTTTCGCACATACAATTTTAGTACTTGTGCTGCCGAAGCAAGCACGATACATATTCGCACATACACATTTACACTGCATAGCTACTTGATAAGAAAATTATATCCATATTTTAACGTTTCTTTTGTTATATGTATGCAGTGCTATCATTTTTCACAGCATGTGATTTCCTTTTCATCGGTTATTTCTTAAAACAGTCATTTCAGCTTATTTAATATTACTGTACAAATCTCAAATAGCATTCCCTCGCTTCAGTTTTACCTCAAAAGATTTCATCACTTTTGATTATATTTAATTTTGTAATTTGATAGACAAGATATGTATCAAGACCTCACTCATCTATTATCAGCTTTGTGATGTTTTCACTGAAGAAAACTGGGACTAAAGCCCATATCTTATGTATATAAAGCATGTGTATAGTTGGCTAAAGTCTGCAATTCCCAGTCCAAATACAATTTCCAAAAAAATTTCAAGGCAGCTACACATAGAATGAATTATTAATATTTCCTTGGCATGAGCATCTAACTGGTCTCTAGGTATTATAAAAGCAGTGATTTTCTTTAGGCTCGTGCTCAAACTTTGAAATTTCTTATTTTCCTAGTTTGGCCTACCTTCAGGTTTGTTTTGTTTTTGTTTTGTGTCTTTTGTCAAATCATTTCTATTTTCACACGTTTTCTAATTTCATGAAAATTTTGTTTTAAAAAATTCTCAGACATTGTATCTTTATCTGTTTTATCTGTTTATTTCTTTTCTTTACTATTTTTTACTTCATTGTACATAATTGTTTCATCACATTAATGCCAACACTGGTACAGTGGTTAAGGAACTGGGCTAGATATAGGTAAATCCAAGTTAGGTCCACCCTCAGCTGTGGAAGTTTTGTGGGTCTAGACAAAAGACAGAGCTGCAGAGGTGGTATTCAGCAGGTTCTGACCAGTTCTGGAGAACCGGTAGCAGAAAATTTGAGTAGTTTGGAAAACCGGCAAATACCATCTCTGACTGGAGATTTTACAGTATCCTTCCCTGCCACGCCCACCAAGCCACACCCACAGAACCAGTAGTAAAAGAATTTGAATCCCACCACTGCAGAGCTGGTACCAAGACTTCAGTCAGATAAGTGGGCCTTGAGCCTAGACCAATAAACTAACTTGAGCAAAATGTCTCAGGCAAACTCCTCCCTAATTTGCACGAGGGGCAGCACATTCAGACTTGCAAGATTTTGTTAGTATAGCTGTTACAATAAAGGTCGTTCTAACTTACATGACATTGGTTTCTTATTCTGGTCTACCCTATAGGGCTGATACTGGGTGACCTTAGGCCAGTCTATCATCCCATCTTATCTCACAGAATAGTTGAAGGTGGAAAAAATTAAACTAATCCAAACATATAGACCTAATATTCTTATAATTCTTATAATGGAAAAACATTGTATAATTGGGGTCTACAAAGATATGAACAGCAATGAATACCAGTAACACCACTTGCAGTCACTTCGCTTGTCCAATCCATCTGAAGTCCTGCCAGTACCTTCAGAGATGTACTATTCCCAATGTCCTTAGTGATGGGACAGTATAGACATTCTTCTATTTCTTTCAGTGCCCTGTCTGAGTTTTTGGAGCAGTGGTTCCCAAAGTGGGTGGTACCGCCCCCTGGGGGGGATGCCTTAGGGGGCGCTAAGAGGTGGCAGGGGGGCACTGGAGGAGTCCAGCTGCACCGGAAAAACACACGGTGGCTGGAGGTTTTTGCAGGCACAGGGGATCAGTGCAGCACTGCAGGCGGGATTCACCCTTCCCATCCTGGAAGCGCTGCCTGCACTGAACCGCAACAGGTCCCCACATGAGCCGGGTCAAGCCGGCTGAGAGGAAAGTATCCCCAAGGAAGCGACATAAAAGTGTATGCGCCGTCTCGTAGTTGTGTCACAGGAATTACGTAGGACGAGCCTTTCGGCATGTTGAGCGTTCTTGGTGGAGTCGAGTGTTGGGAGGTTTTGCTTGGTGGGCCAAGGCCTAGAAGTTGGTGCAAAGCAATGTCGGGGATTACGGGAGGTGGGACGGGCTCTACTTGAAAGCGGCTGCTGAAGGGGGGGTGCTAAGAGGTGGCGGGGGGCATTCGAAGTGCCGGCACTGCAGGCTCATCCCATTGACTGTTGCACCGGAGCGGTGCAAGGGGCTCAAAGGCGTCGAATGCAGCAGCGGCAGCACATTGGGAAAGTCACTCTGGCTTTGCTCTACTTTCCCAAAGTGCCGCCACTGTTGCATTCTGTCTGTCTGTCTGTCCATCCATCCAAAAGGTCTGTCTGTCTGTCTGCCTCCCTGCCTGTCTTTCTGGCTATCTACCTACCTATCTACCTACCAATATCAATCGATCGATCTACCTACCTACCTATCCATCCATCCATCCATCCATCCAAAAGGTCTCTGTCGGTCTGTCTTCCTGCCTGCTTGCCTGCCTGCCTACCTACCTATCTACCAATATATCTTTCTACCTACCTGCCTATCTTTCTATCTATCTGTCTACCTACCTACCTAGCCATACATCGATTCAAAATGTCTGCCTGCCTGCCTACCTACCTATCTATCCATACATTCATCCAAAAGGTCTGCCTGCCTGCCTACCTATATCCATACATTCATACAAAAGATCTGCCTGCCTGCCTACCTACATACCAATATATCTGTCTACCTACCTACCTACCTACCTCTCTCTATCTATCTATCTATCTATCTATCTATCTATCTATCTATCCATCCATGTTCGAAGCGCCGCAGGCACATCGGGAAAGTAGAGCAAAGCCAGTCTGGGAGGGAGAGAGAGAGAGAGAGAAAGAGAGAGAGAGAGAGAGAAACCTGATGCATCAGATTGAAATGAGACCTAGGCCCTTTTCCATACTGAAACATCTTTGGTTTCTATTAAATGTTTTGTGGACGAAATGTGGTCAAGACTATCAGGAAGCTCTCACATTTTGTTGAGGCTTTAAACACCAAGTGGACTGAAAAAGTTTGGGAACCACTGTTTTAGAGGGTGAAAAGAAGAAAAAAATAATGGAATATCTGAATAAGTCTGACATAAATCGAAAAATATCTGGCAGGTAGGAGTTAGGGCATAAATTTGGGGAAGCAGAAGTAGAGCTACAAATCTGAGACTCATCAAAACAATCTACATATTAAGTTACATATAGAGGGGATTTCAGTTGTAAATATTATAAAATAGGCAGTGCTCTATACTTACACATAATTAGTTATTGATTGTTATTTATTGCCTTCTATGTCTCCTATAGAACTTTTTATAACAGATGATGAACTGAAGAAGGTTCATGATTTTGAAGAACAATGCATAGAGGAATATTTCAGAGAGAAAGACGATAGATTTAATTCTTCCAATGATGAGAGAATCCGTGTAACTTCTGAAAGGTGCACAACATTTTGTTTGGCTTTGTAGATATATGTTTTAAAAATTGTAATCATAAATATTTTCACTTTGTTGTTTTTTAAAACAAAAAGATTTTTAAAAGTTCCATAATATTTTATTGGCTGCAAATTAATAGTAATCAAAATATAGTAAACCTATTTTGGAATTGTCATAAAAGTGGTATTTATACAAAAAAGAAAAACCCACAAAAATTAAGCATATTTCCAAGTAAAAATCCTTGGTTTAGATTACTTGGTTAAATCTGACTAAAACAGAGACCGCAATCATCAGTAGAATATAAAGTCTAAAAAATAACTAGAATACAAAAATATAGATTTAGTCGCTATATATGAAGTCTTTATTCTATTATCAAATTGGGGGAGGTGAGGACAAGGCGTGAAATACATGGGACCAAAGGGCTGTTTCTGACTCCAGTGCAAGTGACACCCAAATCTCCTCCCCATATGCATGGCAGAATTCTTCAGGGGAAAAAAGATCGCTGCAACCCCAAAATTTGTTACATTAGTGCTACAAGCTATACATCAAGGAAGTATCTGATTGGGCCTTTGGTCTTATTCAGCTCTGGTAATTCCTATGCATATTCCACTTTTTTTCTCTTTATCCTCTCCTTGGTGAATTGGAAATCATCCCTGAATCTCAGAGTCATTTTGGGGGTAGAACATTGGTTGTGTGAAGTCTGCTTTTATAAATGGGTCTTAGAAGTCATAATGCAAATTGAGGTCTTATTTCATAGTCTCTTAGTTTCCACTTAAACAGATAGGCAAGAGTGTAAACCTATTGGTATAAACCTGGAGAAAATTTTGTAGAAAAGTGAATAAAGCATACATTAATTGTATGTAAAATAATTACTTTGCAATATACTTGTAATATAACTGAGGGTTAAGGATATCATGACACTCTAAATTTATTTCTCCAGGGATTACTTATTGCCATCATATTCATTTGACAAGAATTAGGCCCTTTTCTAACTTCCTGGCAGCTTTTAAAATCTGTATAGCTGTGCAATTTTAGGTTTGATAAACCAATTGCTACTTTCTATAGATTTGGTACTTACTAAGGAGTTTGCCACATAAAACCCATAAAATTGAAATATTTCTATACCAGAAATCAATATTTTTATCTTTGTATATGTGAGCCTGCATAACATACAGTAGATCTGTAAATCTTATGTTTACAAATTTGAAATCTATAAATAATGTATACAGAACAGCTCTAAAAGTCTATGTTTTAAGTTATGTAAATGTTTATTGTTTATTTTTAAAAAAGGACATCGATGCATCTCACAACTTTAATCAGGAGCAAAATGCAAATTCTTGTTTAAATATGTGTTGATAAAATGATTGATCAAATCATTGAGGAGGCAAGAAGTAAATGGATTTATCATTCCAGTTACCTAGTAACCTCTTTTTAATTGTTTATTTTAAAAAAGAAGATTAATTTTCTTAGTGTGCGTATCAGTATACTAATGGCATACTATTTACATTATTATCTATTTTCTTGATTAAGTAAATTGGTTTAGAAATAACCAAGGTAATCTGCTTGCCCTACTGGATGTTATCAAAACATTTTTTCACTGTCTTTTCTTCCTGCAGAGTAGAGAATATGGCAATGCGATTAGAGGAAGTGAATGAACGAGAGCATTGCATGAAGGCCTCGCTTCAGACTGTAGATATACGGCTTGCTCAGCTGGAAGATATGATTGGGAGAATGGCCACCGCACTGGACAAAATTACTGGCACCGACAGAGGAGAGGCCAGTAAGATACGGTCTCGAACATCTTCTGACTGTACTGACACAGCTTACATTGTGAGACAAAGTAGCTTCAACAGCCAGGAAGGGAATGCATACAAACTTCAAGAGAGTATTGATCCTACGGGGGAAGAATCAATGTCCCCCACCTCTCCAACATTAACGCCTCGACTGCGAAGTCACTCCTTCTATGCGATGAATATGAAGGAGAAGGGTGGGCTTGAGAAATTTGAAAGTATTTTGAAAGAACGGTCTCTGAACCTTCATCGTGCCACTAGCTCTCACTCAATCTCAAAAGAACCAAAAGTTTCATTAGTGCCTGTAAGCACTTTGTCTATTGCTCCAGATTCTCGGAGGCCTTCCTCTTGCATTGATATTTATGTGTCTGCCATGGACGAGCTGCAGTCAGGAATAGAGCCCCTGGACAGTTCAATGAACATCCTTGGGACCGGAGACGCTACTCTTCAAGCTCAGATCACTTCCAGCGTTCTCTCGAGTAGTGCTTATGTCAGTGGTACCGCTGGTGACGGAATCTCAGGCAGAAGTATTGAGTGTGAAGAGCCTTCTTCGCTGGAAACAAGGGTGTTTTCTTCAGATTATTCCCAAATCACAGACAGTCAAAACCCCTGGGAATTGGATCCCCCCCTATATCATACCTTAGAGCGTTCTAAAAGTAGTCGCTACCTGGCTACAAGCCCCTTTATTTTAGAAGAGGCACCTATTGTAAAATCTCAGAGTTTTATGTTCTCTCCATCCCGGAGTTATTTCAGCAGCCTCGGAGTACCGGTCAAAACAGCAGAGTACACTAGCATTACCGACTGTATTGATACAAGGTGTGTCAGTGCTCCTCAAACCATTGCAGAAAGGTCAAGTTTTCCTGGGATCCATGGAGATAAGATGGATGACCTGGGATGCTGCCATCCAGAGAGGGAAGCAGAACTAAGTCACCCAAGTTCTGACAACGAGGACACTGAAGCCAAAGACAAAAAAGCAGTTTCCTTGTCACTTCAAGACAGCAATACATCTAGGACCTTGTCTAACAATATTCTGCTTCCTAAAATAGAGCGGGCCAATAGTTACTCTGCAGATGAATCCAACTTACTCTACGTGCACACACGGAAAAGCTACTCCATCAGTGACAAACTTGATAGGCAGCGCAATGCATCCAGCCTTCGAAATACATTTCAGAGGAGCAGGTCATCCAAACCAGAAGGCACAGGAGACACCTTGTCAATGAGAAGACTCTCTAGAACAGGTGCATTCCGGAGCTTTGAGAGCAAATATTGCTAGAGATGACATCTGCTCTTTGGTCCTCCTCTTGAGCAGAATGAAATAACCTCAGATTTATGAAGTGTCAGCAAAAAGCTGGCTTCTACCACCAGTCGAATTAGCCCTCTTTAATCTCAGTGTCAGCCACCGAGATTCTGCCTCTTGACCCAGTTGGCATTTGCACTTAATAGGGGGCGGGATGGGTGGGAGGGAAGATTTTAAAGACATTATTTTTTAAAAAAAGCTTTATGACATCGTGCATAAATGGGGAAATAGTTTGAGAAATCTGCCTTTCAAAATAGAAATAGGTTTTTTTTTAAAAAAAGAAGCAAAATAACATGCATCTAAAATGGGTGTTTTAATTATGATTCTGTTGTCGTTTACATCAGTACATTTGTGATAACTTATGAAGCAGTATCTTTGAATTACATTATAGAAGACAAACCTATCAATTCCCACTTTTCACTCTCATGGTTCACACGTCTTTTTTTGTACTGACAACTTGTAGTGCCACAAATGTTATATTTTCAAGAAGGGAAGTAAACAGATGCCTTTTATATAGCAGCATGAGGGAAAGGGGGAAATTTATGTAATACATTATCATGTGGTTCCTGTATTAAACAGGCTTTTTCGCACAGCTGACCAAGCTCAGGAAGATTGTAATTAAGTGGAATAGTAAATACTTATTTTTGTAATTACATCTACGTATTAGTTTAGAAAGAATTCCATGGAGCCTCCTTAAAATGTTACATGACAGGAAGAAAACAGTCCAGAGGCAACATCATATTCTTATTGCTCTGTACAATATTTCTATCTTTTTTTCCCCAAGTATTTGGAATTTATTGGGCGTATTTGCATTTCATTGCTCTTCTAATTGTTTTACCATTTATTGCTGGAGGTATTGAATGATGATCTTCTCTTACAATATTAAAGGACTGAGAGGTTAGTTAGCCTAAGTGAAATTAAGACTTCGGATTGTTTCAAAAACCATTCTTTTAAGTATGCTTCCATTGTCTAGATTAGAATGGCAAAGAGAAGAGATTTCATACCATGTAAGAATGGAATTTGAAAGTTTCATTGTCCTCAGGTCTACTCATCAATAATGTTTGCAATAACCCTCCTGGGTGCAAGAATTAAGTATGGCTCCTAGAGGATAATAGGCAGGTGGCATAGTTATAGAGCAGAGGTCTCCAAACTTGGCAACTTTAAGACTTGTGGACTTCAACTCCCAGAATTCTCCAGGCAGCTTCTGGAAGTTGAAGTCCACAAGTCTTAAAGTTGCCAAGTTTGAGGACCCTGTTATAGAGTTTAAATTTATGTATCTCTCTCTCACATCAGTGATATTTTAGAAAACATTTTAAAAATTATTTTGAGTTGGCTAAATTCCTTTTTCAATTTTAAGCATTCAGACTAAATCTAGGTGTAAGCAGTCTTCCAAAGCACAATAGAGCACGGATACTCCGCTTTTGTTTTGAGTTAGGGGGCCAGGGGTGGGATTCAACCGGTGTTACTACCAGTTCGGTGACTACGTTTTATTATTATATAAAAAGCAGGAAATAAAGGACAGGTAAGAGCCCAGGCGGGTGGGTGGGCCAAACAGCAGCAAACACAGAACCAGTTTGGTGTCTGCTGCTCTTCAGAGCTACCGATTCTATAGAGCCGGGCAGAACCAGTATCATCCCACCCCTGGTTATGGCTCTAATAACCCCACATAGCTTGACAAGGGTCAAGGATTGTGGATGTTCTCCAGAACTTTGGAAGGTACCAGAAATAAACTCAGACCTCTGAAAGTTTCCAAAGTCCTAATTCATCTGATAGTAGCTGCGGGCAAAACACAGCCACAGATCTTTTTGAACGCAGCTTGTGCCTTGATTTCAATTATAAAATGTAATGCAAATTGCCCCAATCAATTGACCTTCTTGCTACTTACTCTCCATCTTCCTTATTCTCAGCTATTATTCTATAATTTGCCAAGATGTTTTAGTATGTGCTTTCCCATGAGAATAATTTATCAATGATCAAGACATATGCCAACATACCTGGGAAGCAGGATACACTGATTATTCGATTTATTTCCTAAACTGCTTCTAAGGCCTAACATTAATTCAATTGTTGTAAATAACTGCACAATACATACTTTTATTAGAGCTTTGATGTGTGTGGTTTTTGTGTGTGTGTGTGTGTGTGTGTGTTAGAAAAAACTTTTCTACAGCAAAGAAACATGGTGTGGAAGTAGATGTTTTAGTCATTAGCCATTTTTTTTCAAACAGTTCTCCTGTCTCATATGAGATTTCAGATTTTCCATGCACAAAATGGTATCTAAGACAGGTTTCTTTTTAATTTACTACTAATGCCTTTTTTCATACTATCACAATCATTCCAAATTTCATGAGATCTGACATAATCTTGCATAATTTTGAACAGGGTCTCTAATGATAATTCATTCAAACAATATTTCAATGACCTCAGATGAAACAGATCTATTTTAAATAAGTCAAAATATATTACCATTCTTGCTCATTTCTGCTCTGCACATAAGCCAAGACTAGATCAACATTGCTCTCTTAAACTACTGAATTATTCAATTTCATTTGAGCTGACTGTGTGAAAAAACCCCTCCTAAATGGATTCATAAAAACAATTCAAATCATCCTTTGAATTTTCCTGTTTGCCTTCAATGACAATGTCCTGATCTACGTTAAGCATATGTAGGTAATAATAATATATGGGCCCTAGCTTCAGAACAAATTGACAAATAGGACCCCTGGTATCCCTATTCCTAGTGTGACAAAAGCCAAATTCTGGAAGGAGTGCCAGCATTTATACTTTTTAACGCAAAAAATAGCCGTTTCTAACCAAAGCACAATCTTAAGGTTCACTTCTACATGCTTCCTGGGAATGGAACCTATTTTGAAATACTTGCAAACTTGTTACCAAATGCAAAGGCATATATTGTGGCTTTTGTTAAGAAAAGTGTATTTGAATGTGCATTTTTCATAAATTACCCTGGGTGTTCTGTTGTTAAAATCATGGAAAAAGAAACATTGCTTAGTATTACAGTTTTTTTTAAAATTACTATTAAAATATTCCTTTCACACAGGAACAAGAAGGCAGGAACCCACAGAATCATTGGAATTACAAAGAATAATTCTTCGGAATTATACTTATTTTAAAATCATATCCCATTGAACTTACAGTTTATACATATGATAAAAAGTGTATTCTTTGTATAATTTATAAAGCAGACTTTAACATTCCACTTTAATCACTTGGACTGATCATGGATCAGTCATTTGCCCTCCTATCTTCTTTACTGAAAAAGTATACACAGGATCAGTTAATAGTTAAGAATATATTTTCTGTTAAAATGTTCATAAATTGAGATGCTGTATGGAACTTAGAATACAGCATTATTAAAGTAGAAGTTGCACTCTTGATAGGAAAAATTGGAAATATTTCCATAAGCTATCAAACAGCAATAATTGAACAGTAAGATGCTCGTTTCTGAATAAGTAAGTAAATGAAGCATTTTCCTGCTAAAATAAGCAACTTTTCTAGAGCATGGAAACAGATGTACCCTTATTTTCATTTTTTTTTAAAGATTGTGTTCATATCAAGATAAATGCATTACATTGAACACTGAAACTACCGTACTGATTTGAATGTTCCCATTTTCTCTAAAACCATGGTAGCTCTTTTGATACTCACTTGAATACTTCCCGTGTTTTAGAATATGTGCTCTGGATATCTGTTTTTAGAATCCTGTGTGGTATGCTTGTATTAGCCCCTAACATAGAAGCAACAAACCATGCAAACTTTTAATTCATAATCTGAAATGTTACGTACAAAATATAAAATTACTAATCTGCATAGCCATGGAATAGGAAAGACAAAATTTCAAGATGAATTCAATTCAACGTAGTTGAATTTATACCATCATAATAATATCTGGATGAATGCTAATCAAGGATTCAGAATAACAAGAGGGCTACATTTACAAATTGAAAAAGAGACACCAGAATAATCCAACGTTGTTGTTTTTTACATAATGGGGTGCTGTAATGTGATTATATTAGATCAATTTTTGGGTCTATCAGGGAGGACAACCTTTAGTGAGCCAAAGGCCACTCTTAACATTGGATAGACGGGCTTTGAAAGCCACAACATATACAGGGCCAGATCTGGGTTTAGGGAGTAGCATTTTGGGATTTCCCTTCAATTTCTTTTTAAAATGTTTTCCATTGTGTTGTCCTTAATTTAGGCCTTGCACAACAGTTTGCATATGTTTCCTACCTGAAATTTCTGTCAGTTTATAGCAATCATGTACGAAAAGACGGTGTGGGGCCCTCAAGTCAAAGGCTATCCACCACTGCAGCGTAAAGTCATATCTTTATACAGTTCATGCAGTACAACGTTTGATAATAGGAAACATTGAACAATACAGTCTGCTACCTAGCTTTCCAATGTAATAGCAGTTATTGGGCAAGGAATCAGAGTCGGTCGCCATTATTGTTAGGCTTCCATTTATTTATTGGTAGAGCTCCACTGTTAATGCTGGCATAGCTTTTCTAGCCTGAATCTTGCAGAAGCGTTGGGACTTTCTGACTGTGATTCTTGTGGGTTAGAATCCCAAAATATCTGAAAGGTGTCAGGTTGGAGAAGGCTAGCCTTTGAGTTGGCATATATATGTCCCTAACGAGCCACCAATAGCTGTGATAGCTGCATTATGGGAATGCGAAAGAATAAACCTAGGGAGTTATGCAAAAGGTAAAAAGAATAATCTCTTTAATATTTAAAACTCTGTTGAGTAAGCTGTTTGTTTACATATGCTGTGCAAATAAGGAAGCAGTGTACAGTATTTTTAAAATACTTTCTTCTAGTGATCCATCCTGTTATTTCCGATTCAAGTGACTCTGTTCTATAGTTGGATATATCACTTGTCCTAGGTAGTGAATTATAGCACATAATTCTTTCACAATAATAATGTGATAATGATTGAAATAATTTCTTCTTCCTTAAAT